AACTCGGTTCTCCGATTCAGGGACGACGACTCCCAGTTCTGGTGGGATAGGACAGGGCGAATGTTTTCCAAGCTCCTCAAGTACGCCGGCTACAGCGCAGCAGAGCAGTACCGCGAGCTCAACTTCTACTCTCTCTTCGTCGCCCCTGAACTTGGCCCTTCTCCAGATTGTCACGGCAATGTCAGGAGATGGAGGAGTCCTGGGACGCCAGACTCCACGCCGATCGACTTCAGCTGGGAATGGGGGAGAGATAACCATGCTGTCGTGAGGTATAGCTTCGAGCCCATCGGCGCACATGCCGGTACGGAGTTAGATCCTCTCAACAGGTATGCGACGAACAACTGGATCTTCAAGCTCCAACAGCAGAACATGGTGCCGGGTCTGGATCTGGAGTGGTACAAGCACTTCACGAACCAGATCCTGCAGCATGACAACCGCACATCCAAGACAATTGACTGCTTCGTCGAGGAGACAACACCCAAAGCCGGCACTGTTGTCGCACTCGACATTGAGAAGACTGGTCCCGTCATGAAGATTTACATCTACCCCGGACTCAAGGCAGAGGAGCTCGGAATCAGCAACCTTGAGCTTGTCGAGCGCTCCATCCGCAGCCTGCCGCCAGATCAGTTCAACTCTCTCAACGCTGAGCCCCTCTTCGACTTCCTCCGGGAGGGCACAGAGAAGTACAACTTCGAGACGGGCATTCTCGCTATTGACTGTCTGGCGCCCAAGGATGCTCGCATCAAGGTGTACATGAGAGCCCGTCACACTACCTTTGAGTACATGATGGACTGCATCACCCTCGGCGGCCGCCTCGACATGTCAGGGGAGGCCATCGAGGACCTCAAGGACTTCTGGAAGACTTTCCTCGGAGACGCCTCGGATATGCTTCCCGACGATGCCCCCGGCAGAGCCAGCCCCGGCTTCTACTACACCCTCGGCTGCGGCAAGGCCATCTCGCCCAAGGTGTACATCTCTCCGCAGTATTTCTGCAAGAGCGACGTGGATGTGCTGTCCCGCCTCCGCAAGTTCTTCTCCACACGCCGATCGGATCAGATGATGGACAACTACGAAGCAGCCATGGTCGATATCTTGTAAGTTATCATCACGCCATCGACCCAGATCTTTAATTCCCGTGCTGACGTCTCCACAGCGGTACCAAGACGCTGGATTCCCGGTGCGGCAGCCACTACTATGTTGGTTGCGCGTTGGCCAAGGGTCAGCTGAGAGTGGTTACTTATCTCAGCCCCCAGTCCTTCGATTGTGAGAAGGATAAGATCTGCTCACGTAAGCCGTAGACGAAGGATTCGCATGCTTGTTTGGAGTCTTGTTTTCTCTTTCTTATTAGATATCCAGATGAGCTTATTGGGGTTGTGCACCGTGGTGTTGGAATGTTGGATAAATGAAACCTCAAACCTGTGCATAAGATCCATTCGAAGGAAATATTACATGCCACTTAACAATGTTCAATTCGCAACCATGATGTTTATTTGGTGTTTAGTTCAATCTTGGCCGACGTTGAACTTGGCTTTCGGCTATGAAGCTATGTCATCATGCCTAAGAAGCTTGGCATGCACTGACCAGTGGTTGCGACAGGGCCTTGGTTGCATCTTTTGTGAGAAGCGAGCAGCATACTTTCGGCTCCTGATTGACGTTGAACTCTATTATAGCTAATGACGCATCTATGCATTTACCTCCCCAAATATTCCGATAAAATGTTCCATCAAAGCTACTCTTATGTTTTATGCGCTTTTGCTGACGTTTAGCTGTAGTGCAGCCTTCTCTAACAAATCGCAAGCCCTCTTCGCGCCACCCTGTGCATTCAGCTCCTCCCCAATTCTGGCCGCATTGTCCTTGTAACTTGAGTCATTGAGAATCTTGTAGACTGCCTCTTTGACCTGGGTTACAGAGGGATTATCTGTCTTCAGATCAATACCTGCGCCGACCCATGACACCCGTGCAGACGTGTCCTTCTTATCCTCTGATGTACCTGCGCAGATGAGAGGAACGCCGTGAGACAGTGCTTGTGTGACGCTGCCGTAACCACCGTTCGTGATCAGAAGTCTCGTGCGGGGGAGGAGCTGGTCGTAAGGAACCCAATCTGCGATGCGTACGTTGTCTTCAATCTGCACCTTCGCTCGGATCTCGTCTCCAAGCTTTGACGGCACGACTATCAAGAAGCGCTTGTCTTCTTGCAGTGCCTGGAGTCCAGGGATGATGAGCGACGTCGGGTCCATGGCAAAAGTTCCCTGTGTGAGGAAAAGAACGTCCTGTCCCTTTGAAGGAGCGCTGAGAACGTCGTCCCACCACTCAGGCAAGTTGGCGTTCGAGCCCCCGATCTTTGCAACGAGGGGCCCGACATAATGTGCTTGAGGGATGATGGGCTCTGGTCCTTCTTGAAATTCAAGCGAAGGGCATGAAGCCTGGATATGCAGGAACGGGCTGTATGAGAATGCATCTGTGGGCTTCAGCGGCGGCAGGCCCAGCTTCTCTCTCTCCGGGTTGATGACCGGCAGAACCAGCCGCGGTTGACTCAGAAGCATGCCGAGTGCAGACTGCGCCGGATGCGCCGTGGGCTCGGGCCCGACCTCCGGGAGGTACAGAGGCACAACCCCGAGTGTCGCATAGGATGGGATCTCTCCAAGTTCGTACACAGCTGCCATGCCCTGCGGTAGTGCATCATTCAAGACGTAGTCAGGCTTGAATGTCTTCAGTACCCTGCGGATATCAGCCACTTGGGCCGTGAGCCGACCGCCGAACATGACCTCCGCTGTCTCCGCCATGTCCTTTGGGTCTGCACCGTCGAGATTGGCGTCGACCTTGATCACGTTCTCCGCTGGGACGAACTTCGCTCCCGAAGCAACAACTCGGGCTTCTTGCGGAGCGATCGTTGTCCAAACGACTTCGTGCCCTCGCTCAACGAGCTCCCTCGCAACGGCCTGCATGGGCAGGACATGGCCAGTGGCCGAGAAGCAATGAAGCAAGAACTTCAGCGGTCGTCGATCCTTCGGTGCGACCGTGCCCGCGCCGTCTGGTGTTGATAGATGCATTTTCGCAATCGGATTGGCAGTGAGGCGTGAGGTTGGCTGTATTGAGACGATGTGGCTGATCTGAATGATTGGATGAACAGCCTGGCATATTCACAAGCCAACGACACTTCTGCGCTGCAGCTGAGACACAGAGACTTGCATTTAGGAGGGATAAACGGCTTATCGATGCATTGTCATTTCCGAGCCTCTGATTCGTCAACGCATGTTGATGTGTCAAAGCCCGCGCAACAGGGAAGGTTGAGGGGGAATTATCAAGCTATCTGCCGAGATCGGGCGCGTAACCAGGATTATTCATGATAGGGTATCAACTGATTGATTTCCAGAAGCACGAGAGAAGAAACAAGTCCGCTGCGGATCTCTGATAGCGACGTAAACTCAAAATATTACCCCGGACATTTGGAACCCACTCGCATGAGTCGCAGTCGACCGGCGGCGGCAGGCGAGTCATGCGTGGTGATGGGGTCGTTGATAACACGACGTGGCAAGGGGCTGGGGCATCCATCCCCTCCCTCCACCAGGGTTGAAACGGCAGTTGAGAAGACTGGAGATGGATCACCGCACGTGGACGGGAGGGAGGTAGGGTCACGAGTAAAAGGTCCGCAACACCGCCCTTGAACCAAGCTGCTGCAGCGGAGCGAACCCGACAAACCTTCCTGTGGTAACATACAGATCTGTTGCATACGAAAAATGTCCCGCGCTGTCGATAAACTTCCCGCACCCGCAGAAGAGCGACCTATGAAGGTTATTGGACTTGGTCCAAGCAGGTAAGTTCAGACGGAAGCTGCATCGGATATGTTGGTGTCGGGGGCTAAGGTCTGCGCAGAACAGGCACTCTTGGGCTATGGCAGGCTCTGAAGACATTGGGCTACAAGCCTTTTCACATTTCAGAATTGCTGCCCTATGGCTTTCAGCAAATGAGAGCGCTTCAAGAGGCCATTATCGCCAATGATACGGACAAGCCTTTTGGTCGTGCTGAGTTTGACAAGCTCTTTGCTGGTTACGACGTAAGTGCGAGTGTCAGTTTAACGACGAGAAGAGTCCGGACTGACTGGTTGAAACCCAGTGTATTGTTGAGAGCCCCTGCTATCTGTGCCCAAACGTTGTCACGGAGTATTTGGAGGACCCCAATGTCAAGTTCATCTTGACCGAGCGGACACCAGAATCTTGGGCCAAGTCCATTGCTGGGTCTCTAGGTGCATACCATGCGAAGCTCGCACAGCCGCCTCTGTCGGTTGTCAGGTACTTCGACAGCTTCGTCTGGGAGTTGAGGGCACTTTTCAAGGCCATGACGCATAGATGGTCCGGCGGCCTCGAGCCCAGTGACCCCGGCTTCAAGGACGCCATGGCCAAGAGCTATACTGAATAGTAAGTCACATCCTCAGTTCGAATCTCACAAGCCCAGTCCATGACTGACACGATGATAGCCTCACGAACGTCAAGGCTCTCGTGCCGCCCGAGAGACTACTAGTGTTGAATCTCGAGAAGGGATTCGGATGGGAGGAGATCTGTACCTTCCTGGGTCATGACGTCCCGGAGGAGCCATATCCTCGCATCAACGCGATGGCTGACTTCCACGTCGCTGCGGAAATGGTCCTTGCCCCCGCCGTCAAGAAGACGATGCGCATCTTTTCATCCGCTGGAGTCGCTCTGGCTGGTGTCGCAATATGGTACTGGCAGCGCAGGAGATAGACCACTCTCCGTTTGTGTATGAGTCTCAAGCTCAAAAGGGAGCATTGATGCTTCCTGGCGACGGATCAGAGGCGGATCTGTCTCCATGTCAGGTTAATGATACCCACGGCAAGCATAAACGATTCAGTTGAAGGGACATTGGTTCGAACTGTAGAGTCTTAGCATAGAAAATAGCAACCACTTAATTCATGCCATTTACTCAATTGTTCTATCTTTAGGGAAGTGATGAAGTATTTCCCTTCTGCAGCTGCTCCGATATAACTACTGAGCTTCCTTGGGGTCATATGCAGATACCTCCACCTCGATGCGCATACCTGGTTGTCCGAGTTGCGAGACCCCGACTCCTGTTAGGAGAGGCGCGTGGTCAGGTGCCCATTTCTTCATGTTTTCTACCATCCGGCCCATGCCCTCTGGGGTCCAGGCTTCATCGAGAGCGTAGAGACGGATTCGGAAAACCTGTGACCAGCCCTTGCCACCAGCATCCTTCAAGGTCAGGTCTACATTGGCGAAGGCCTGATCGATTTCTTCTGAAAGCTCGGAGTGAACCTTTCCCGTTGCGGGATCCCAGCCGCCTACATAAGGTAACGTTAGCATGGCCACGGAGCAAGCCTTATACTCTGGAAGGAAATTGGAGGAACTAAGCACCTTGGCCTGATATCTCAATTTTGTCTCCAACTCGGACAGCTTGACTGTAGTGCATCTCCTCAAGGAGGGTCTTGCCATAGTCGTTGTAAGAGAAATACTTGAGTCCCGACATTGTGTCTTCAGGACGGTAATGATGGGGTAAAAGTTTCGAAAATGAAAGTTTTGCTGGGGAGTATCAACAGATGCAAATTGAGTTGACATGGAGTATTGGAAAATGCAATGCGTAGTATTTATGTTCAGTGAATCGTGGCTATCATCAATACGCTGTACATAACCACCAACGCACTGTACTTGGCGTTCTTGGCCAACATCTTGGTGCGGTGAGATTCATCGCCGGCTTAGTAACTCTTCATTGACCAATTATGGACAAAGGCAGTATGACTTTGGAGTATGCCCTGTAACTCTCGCAGGATTCAACTTTGCGATGGCTGAGCGAGCCACGAGAAGCATTGCCAAGGCGGCGTAACACTCCCACTTACTAATACAGTCGGGACAATGTTCGCCGTTCTCACTGGCAGCCGACATTTCAGTAGGAGAACCGGCGCTAATACTATCCCGAAGATTATGTCAGAAGGCACCCTAAATCAGACCATTAGATCGGCGCCAAGGATCGAAGGATGCGGCTGCCAAGCCAGATTTCCCCAGGCATGCCAGGCAACCAGGCTAGGCTTCCGCACCTTGGTCGGGAGCGCGACTGTGGAATTACGTGCGCGGTTGGCTTCGATTTTGGCGCAATCTCATTGTGGCTGGTGAGGCTGGCCGCATTCCTCCCTCCCGCCGCCGTCCTCCGATCGATCGGCCCAGAGCTTTGTCTCAGTCGCAAGAGTCAATGATTTCATCACCTCGGGCCGAGCACCCCCGCCAAAGTCTCACACTTCTGGAATGCTTGATTATATCACTGCTCTGTCACTATGTACAATTTGGCGCCCTGTCCTTCACGTTCCCGGCAGTGCCCCGGAGCACGCCCCTGGGTGCCCCACCTACCGGCCCCGAGGCTTGCAGGTGCCGGCGGCCTTAAGCTCGGACCCGCCTCAGGAGGATCGTCGCTGCGGCGGCTATGACGGGCACGGCGCCGTACTTCAAGAACGCCAATAAACCCTGCTTAAGCTGTTGGTCCTTAAACTCCCTCGTCCATTTTTCAAACTCAACCGAGTCGTTGAGATGGGGAAACGGCTTGTCGGGCACATCCTTGCCCAAAAACGCGCATAAGGGCTCCCAGCCCGATCCCAGCTTGTATTCTAACAGTCGCTCTTTGGGAACAACTCTTCGAATCTTCTCGGCGTGTTCCAAGTTTATCTTCTTGAGATTCTCGCGCCAGCTGCTAGTGTCGTGAGCGTCGAAAATCCTGTAAAGCACCTTCTGTGTCATGATCGTTGGCTGTGGGTTCTTGAAGCGCTCGAAAATGTTGATGACCACCCAGGCCTGCCAGTCAGAGAATGGTGCCACGACACATTCGTTGAAGGACTTGTACCAGCTGTCGATATCCCGGTCAACAAGGACCACTTTCGCCTACACGCCGTGATTAGAATCATGCTTTACCAGGGGAGACTTTTACGCGTTCGCTCACGTCTGGGTAGGCCTCAAGCAAATCATCCGTGAACCCAAGCACAGGACAGTCCGACAGAACGGCCCATCCCTTGAGGATCTCGTCAAACTCCTTTCGCCCAAAAGGAGTTCCCTTCCCTTCATATTTGGCAAGATATGCTTCTGCCCAGGCTTTTTGATCGTCGGGTCGCAACATATACTCGAAGCCATGGTACGTCGGCAGTCCAAGTTCTTCGTAGGCAGCCTTCATAGATGTGCTGCCAGTTCTTGGCATGCTCAGGTGGAGAACTTGCACGCCAGATTCATAAGTCATCGCGGCGGTTGAATGTGAATTAACAAGGAAATTGGCCGGAAGTGGTCATCATGGCAGGCAGATTAGCCAGCTTAAGTAGAGCAGCATCGTTCCACAGGAAGTAGTAATAATGCGCCTGATAGACTCATCGCAGTTGTGTGGTTCCTTCCCCGCCCACAGTGGCTCTTCAATTTTCTCAGGGGTCTTTTGTGTTACAGATACGCGCCCGGCATGCAGCATTGTGTTGGCACATCGTGTTGCGGTTATGCGCTCCGCTGACCGGTCTGGCAGCAGTCCATTTTGTTGGTCGAGAGCCATGTTGCCACTTCAGAATGCAACTTGCGCATGGAGGGGACGTCAAGACCGCTGCCAATCCACCAATGGCAAAGCCTCTTTGATGGATTGCAACATGCACCTTAAGAATGACAACATCCGATGCAGCCAAGGCCGTCGGCACCGTCCATCCATAGATCTCGCAGCGTCTTAGTACGCAGAACATTGCGGCTGTCAAGTGAGTCATCTACTGCGCGTCAAGCAAATACCCATTAATTTTTGATAATATTCATGGATGCACCGACCTTCGCATATCTTGTACATCACCTGCTTCGACTAGGAAGATAAACAGTTTGAAGAAATTCGATTTTGTGATGCATATCGAAGATACATGTAGTTTCACGAGACAATATGCCACATCGAGAGGCAGGCTCAATCGAAAAGGAAAGGGTCGGTCCTCTGAATTCTTTTAACTCTCATTTTCTAATACTTGAAGGAAATTCCAGAGTGATATCAATTCCTGACGGACACACCATAGGATGTAACCTCAGGGTTTGTCTATACTCTTCGTCGGTAGTAGGTAGTGTGCGATCTCTGAATCACATTTACAATCATTTTGAGTATGTACCCGGCTGCACAAAATTGTCTAGGCCATGTATGGTTCACTATCTTTTCTTTCTTAGGGTTGATTATGGTACCCATGGCTGCCTATCTTGGCTGCATGTCCCCCTGTTGCGCCGAAGCTTAGTGCGGCGACTAAGTACCGCTATGGGTATCTGGCTTTCTCCGTTTTTCAACACAAGAGTATCAAAAGACCGCCTTCACCCACCATCGATACTACTTTACACAGGAAATCACACAACATCATACGCAATTGGAAACTTCAGAATGGGTAACTATCTTTCAGTTTTCAAATCCCAAAGTCCGCGGCTAAAGGTCGTGACGCCAACGGCAGATCAACCCGACCTCACGCCCGTTCCCCAGTCATGGCATGAGTTCGACGAAGACACCTCAGAATGGATACCAGTGGAAAATGCCACCAGCGATAGCCCGTTGGCCGAACCGACTGAGAACTTCGACCCGGATTTGGAGTTGACGATAGCGACATGGAACATCGATGCATTTGCCGAGCGACCCGACAAACGGCTGTCTGGCCTCTTGTCCAGGATCCTTGACCACGAGCCGGTTCCGGACGTCATATTCCTCCAAGAGGTGAACAAGGGCATGGTGCCCCGAATTCTGATGAATCAGAAGATTTGCGACGGGTGGTATTCCAGCGAGAAAGACACGGTCAACTGGGGCGGCCATCTCTTCGCGACCATGACGCTCGTGTCGAAGGCGCGGTTCGGACATCTAGGGAGAGCTCGGTACGGGGCTCTTGGGCAAGTTTCGCGCATCAAATATCGGTCGTACTACGGACGCGACGCACTTTGCAGCGAGATCTTCCTGCCGTCTAAACCCTCGTCGATCCTTGGGCGGCCTACATACAAGCGCATCGAGCTCATCAACGTACATCTGGACTCGCTTGCCAGGATTCCGTCTCTACGACCCCATCAGCTTTGGCTTGCGTCAAAGATACTACGTGAGTCGGGCCACGGCCTGGTCGCGGGAGACTTCAACCCGGTTCTTCCAGAGGATGAAACGCTCATCGAAGGGAACCATCTTGTCGACGCTTGGAAGGCTGTCCATGGTGAAGAGCCTGGATACACTTGGGGAGTTGACGGGACTGCGCCATTCCCGCCTAATCGAATGGACAGAGTTGCGATGGTGGGACTGACGCCTGTGCACATGGAGGTGATGCATCCAGGCACCATCGTCGTTCAAAGTCCCGAGGTCACTGAGAAAAACGTACCTTGGAGTGACCACTCAGGCCTGAAATGCACTTTCACAATCAATCCATAATGGAGACTTGACGGACCACAGAGTATTGGGAATTTATTAAAACTATTATTTGGGTTTCATGAATTAAGCTAGATTATTTTCACCGCAGCAAGATGGTATTGGGAAGGGAAAACCACCGGAGTAGAATATCGACCTAACAGTTCAATATCAAACCTACGTCAGAAAAATCATGAAACTCTCATTTCCCGTACGGCCAAATTCATTACGTGCATGTTCGTGGTCTTCAGTATAAGCAAAATAGGGTCCCATCCAACAGATTGATGGCTGCCTGCACTAGGCAGCGAAGTGCCGAAAGTCCCTGTCTGTGATTGGCCTGGTCGGACTTCATCAGCCTCTGTTCAATCTCATATCATCTTCTTTCTTTCAGAAAACCGGCCGGCTTTGATATTTTCTCTCTTCATTCCAACGACCTGCCTAAACATACCTAGTACACCGGGCGCGCAGCCTTTGAAAATGGAACATCTTCCTCTACCACGCGACCCTATCAATGAGTACCCGGTTATTAAGCTCGCGACGGCTCAGTTCCACAACCCCGGGCCATTCCTCGACTACCCAGACCGGCATGGCGCTCTTCTCAGCGGTCAATGTCCATACGTACCCACTCAAGCCGATGCGCTCCAGGGCCGTTTCTCAGCTGGAGTCTCAAGCTACAACGTCCTCGATTACTACCAAGGATGGCTGTTCTTTGCGCTCATCAAGGAATTCCTCGAGGGTGAAGGCGAATATGATGCGCGAAAGAAAAGCATGTCTTTCACCTTCGACGACGATGGACAGTTGAGCAGTGCTGCGCTTTCGACCAAGTCGTTGCACGAGGACCTGACGGCATGGAGGGAAACCGGACGTCTATCGAGCATTCAGAGTGGCGACGAATATCACAAACATCTCGACGAATGCCTCGAGATGGCGTTCGAGGCCCTCGACAGCATTGAGTCCAGATTCCCCGGCTTTCTTCGGGTCTTCAGAGATGAAATGATCTGTCTGGCGAGCGTGGCTGAGACACTGGACGTGGCGGTCCAGACGGCTCTAGAGCATGGGCCAGTGGCGGGTAAGACTCTGGTGACAATCTGCCCTGCTCTGACAGGATGACTGGGCTCCGTCTCGTTCCAGATGAACAATAAGCTAATGAGACTGTCGCTTAGAGATGAATCATGACGAACAGTACTTCCCAGCCGGACCCAAATATGGGTGGTTCTCAACGATTGCACCCCTCCTGGATCCGCTGAGCCCCGAAACTAAGAGGGCCATGGTCAACGCGGGATGGTGTCCCGGCGACATTGGCAAGATTAGGGACACCTTCACGAGCATTGAGGCGTTCTACTATCTGCAGAACTTCAAGGCCGACTCCACACAGGCTGACCTGCACAAGGACTGCCGAGAGTATGGATGCAATGTTAGAATCCCCGCGGTGCCCAAACACGAGAGCCCTGGGTGCGAATGCCCCGGAATGGTGACATTTGACGAAGAGCACCTCATCGAGATCTATCAAAAAGGGGACATTCCCTGCTTCGCCATCGGCAGGCTCGAGGACGGCGGTCTCGGGGTAGCATTGACCTCAATCAGCATCGACGAGGAGTCTCAAAAGGACCCCGAAAACCACTATGTCGCACTCTCCCACGTGTGGTCTGAAGGGATGGGGAATATGCAAGCGAATGCACTGCCGTTCTGTCAGCTCGCATATGTGATGCACTGGTCAATGATGGCCTATCAGGGGGTCGAAGATAAGCTAGAGGAGAAGGAGACGACGGGAACGGGAATCAACGTGCAGACGCAACCGAAAGTCCGGCAGATAAACCTGTGGATCGACACAATGTGCTGCCCGGCGACTCCGGGGTACGGTAAGAATTTGTGCCTGTCAAGGATGCGGGAGATTTATGCAAACGCCTATGCCGTCCTCGTCAAGAGCGCGGTCCTTCAGGCGACAAGTGTCAGGGACATCTTCGAAGACACCTCCAGGGGTCTGATCGATGTTGCCACGCACATTTATACATCGCCTTGGATGCGTCGCATGTGGACGCTTCAGGAAGGCGTTCTCGCCGGCGCGTCGCGAGCCAGAGGCTCTGGCGACCGGCTCTGCTTCGCGTTCCGCGACAGCCTCCTCTCCCTTGAATCGGTCGTCGGCCTTCTGAAGCAGGCCCCAAAGCACGAAGCGTCCCTGGCCTTCCGCTTCATCGCAGAGTTCCGCGACCTCAGCGTCAGCATGTGGCAGCTCCCCGACGAGACCAACACCCCCGGGCGCAAGGTGCACCCGTTGAACCTCTTCCTGCAAATGCTGGTCAACGCGCTCAAGCACCGCAGCCTGACGGTTGCGTCCGATGAGGTGATTTGCCTGGCTACCCTGCTGGATCTGCGCATCAAGACGGCGCGAGGGGAGGTTGAGCCTCTTATCGGCGACGGGCAGACGCCCGAGGACGGGATGTGTCAATTGTGGCGCAGGGTCGAGACGCTGCAGGGCGCTGCTGGGCTGCCGGGTGACATCATCTTCTCGTGCGTCCCGCGTGTTCAGGTGCCCGGTTTCCGCTGGGCGCCCCGGACGTTGGTGCAGTATGCCAAATATGGGAACATGTTTGTCTCGCCTTTGAGCCCCTACCCGGCCAGGATCGAAGATGAGGGCCTCAGAGTGAGGTTTCCCGGCGCGAGGCTCAACTGCTTTGGTGGCCTGGATATGGTGGGAAGGCTGCTCCCCACGGAACCGGGATCGACTGATGAGAACGGTAGAGATGCAGAAGCAGGAGGCGAAACGGTTGTCCCACGCGTCCTGATGATCAAGGTCCCGACGGACGGTGATCAGTGGTATGCAGTTCACGTCTACGAGGAACCAAAAGACGGAAAAGAGGATGGGAGTTATCCACGATCATCGGGGGAAGATGAGGAATCAAGGCCAAATGCAATCGCAGATTGGCACGACGATCTGGTGCAGCTCATCAGGAACAGCTCCGTCGCCCTGGTTTTCCGGCCCGGTGAGGTGATCACTGGGCCCGGCCTACTGGTGTCCATGCCGACATCGCCGTCTTCGGCAGAGCTAGGGGCCGGGTTAGCGATGCTAAGTCTGAACCCAGAGCCGCTTCGGGTGCACAGCGAGTTTGCCGTGCAGATCAGACCCCTTGCCGGACCGTCCTGCGTCATTGCCGACGCGACGGTACGGTGTGTCGAGGGGCTGCAGGAAGCAGTTGTGGCTGAGGCGAGACAGCGCGGGGAGGATGTTACCGTTAGCGATGTTTGGGATGATCAGGAGATTGTAACCCGACTGCTTCACGAAACGGCCGAAGGCTTGATGGGATCGTCGGAAGACTTAAAGAAGGCGCTCTATTTTGAGGTGCTGGCTGGGAGAGCTTCTTCAACAGACGAGACTGCGCTCAGCATCTTCTTGAAATATGTCCGTCATATGGCATATTTTGGTGGAGGCATGAAGGGAGAGGCATATTTTGAGGATCAAGAATGGTGGGTGGACTGAGCTTAGAGGTGACACAAGTATAGCTTGAAGACAAAAGCGCCCGCTCATACGTTTAAGACTAGCTCATTGTCCAAATCAAAAGAGGGTAAATTGGCAGTAAAACACTGTGAGACCATGTCATGCTGCATTTGGAAGGTGCAAAGACCAGGTTTGCTGGCCGCAGAATTGCGCAAAGAACATGGTTGATAGAGTGGCTGGAAATGGCAACCTGATAACTACGTAGTAATCAGTAGCAGATAACATCCATGAGCTTTCAAAACGGATGATGCTACAGTAACGGGGCCGGGCTGACATCGATGATGAGAACTGGGGACCGAGGTCGACATCATAGGGATGATAAAGCGTGGAGGGCACCATATTCGAAAACCAAGTGCCGCCGATTCTGCCTAACGCACGCCATATCAAACGTCTTCTGGATTGAGGTTCGTGGCGTTGGGGAGGCTGAAGCTATCGTGAAATCGGCAGTAGGGACCGCGTTCGAGGGGCGACGATGTTCAAGATGTGGCGATCAAGCAGACACGTTCGCTCAAAATCGATGACTGGAAAGGCTTGAAGTGGCTATGAGACATTCGATAGCCGAGAACAGGGGCGTCAAAACCCCACCAAACAAATGACGTTTATTTCATGAAAGCAGATCCAACCATGTAAGACATCAGACTAGGCCAGATGGCTTGGCGGCCCGGTGAGATTGGATCGCATACCACTTACTGAATGCGTGACACCCCCAAGCTCAAGAGTGCTGCCATCAATATGAGTTTTCATCGCCGAGCCTTACGAATCCGGCCTCGAGGGGGAAATCTGTGCGGTTTTGTTCGGCCCGAGGCCACCTGCGAGCCGAGTTCGTGAATTCAAGCGTCAAATGCATCATCGAACTCGGGAGCCAACCCAATCTCACAGGCCCACAACCACCCGACGGGTTCATCCGAGAGAGCCCGATCCATCGATGCTCCTGCCGGCGGGATGTGACGTTGGACACCGGGTATCTTGGCATCTCAGACTGGCCACACGCGAGTGGACGGGAGGGCTTGCAGGCCCAGAGGTTGAGTCGGATTCTTGCCCCATTGTCGCATCCGGTACATTGCTTACTGACCTAATCCGACCATTTCATAGTCTATTCTGCGCGCCGGCCCCATTACCGAAGACGTTGGAATCTGATCTACAATCTTTATGTCTATTCTGAGGAGCCCTATCACAGCGAGAAAACTACTGGATGTACTTATTGCTAGAAGTCGTACATAACGGGTACATCCCCCCACGAATCTAGTCATCAAGTGGATAGCAAACGGTAAGAAGGTGCTCTCCATCCCATCCTCTTTCGGTCACCGTCTGCACGCTAATTGAGGCACACCACCAACATCTCATAGCACCCTCTGCAGATAGCGGAAGAACGACTCCAACGAGGATGTCTGCAATCGGAAGTATTCGATAATAGAAACACTTGGCGATAGTGTGACAAATGGATGTCGATGCTGTCACAGAGAGGTCATGGGCCATGGGTCGGTCTAGACTACCTCAAGTGCCGCCGGTCCTGTCACCTCGAATCATACGAAAAGCGCGCATGTCACCTTCAAATTTCTCTTGTTCTAGCAAAATACCGTGAACTTTCTTTCACTATTCAACAAGGTCTTACCGGAGACTCTTTCAAGTAAAAGAATTCAGAAATCTTTGGATGTTTCTTCCGTGATCTTTGTTTTCCATGGTACGAATTTAGCGAATTCGGCTCTCACTTTCACGAGCAACGATGGCGAGACTCACGGGGTCGTGGAAGACCCTGTTGCCCCTTGCGCTTCTGGGAGGGCAGGGCTTTGCGCAATCATGTCTTGATGCCATCAACGACGGCCAGGTCGACGCCTGTGTCTGCAACGAGCTCGAATACGTCGTCAGCTACGTCGCTTACGTCGCGCTCTCAACATCGCTTACATCCAACTGCGAAGCGCTACCGACTTCGACACTAAAGACTTCAGCATCTTCCTATACCTCGGTTTCGGATCCCTCAGGGAACTCATCATCAGACGCGTATGGGAATGGAGGAACTTTCACAGATAGGGGCAGCTTTGCTCAGGCGACTGCTGGGGGCAACTTCCTGCCCAGGAGACAGCTTCCATCTGGCGCATCGTCATTCGATTTCCGACTACCGTATTACACTATAACGAGGTCCGGAACAGCTTCGGCAACCCCGATTACGGTGTCGAGCTTCAACAACTACACGAGTCTTTTCACAACAAACCCCATCTCGACGGCCCAGACTCTGGTAGTATCGACGCCAACCGCAGCCGCCTCCGACGACCGATCACTCGCTCGTGGCACAATCTGGGTCGCCATTCCGGATGGCAGGATCGACTATCCACCTCCAGTAACATCGACGGTGTACTGGAGTGGGAATGGCTCGCTCTCTGCTCCGTCTACGATCTCGACTATCCCGCCAAAGGCCGAGACTTACATCGTCGCCATCAACAGACCGGCCGATGCCTCTGCGCAGAGCGATTTTCCAGCGCAAAGCAATGCCCCGTCACAGAGCGATCCTCTTCCGCAGAGCAATGTTCCGCAGAGCAATGTACCCCAGAGCAACATTCCTCAGAGCGATATCCCTCAGAGCAATATCCCCCAGAGTGATGCTCCCGCGCAGAGCAATGCTGCGACACCGACCGACGTCACCTTCCCGCAGAGCTATGATCCTGCGCAAAGTGATAGCCCCTTGCCGCAGAGCAATGCGCCCGCGCCGAACGACCCGAGACCTTTCGTCACATCGGTTGTTCAATACTCCGGCTCTGCCTCAGTCAACGGCCCGACGACAGTTAGCATCATTTCTCCGGATGGTGATCAGGCTGGAACAGTTGTGGTGGCAGTGCCCCCGATTGCTTCCGCCGGAGGAGGCTCACCTCCTTCATTCATCACGTCCGTGGTGCCGAACCAGTCGCCGTCTGAACCTGGCCCGGGAGGAAATGGCGTCAGTCAACCCCTTTTCAACATTGGAACCGAGGGTTTGGTGGCTTCTCAGGTCACAACTGAGATTGAGTACACAAACTCTCTGGCTGCGACCGTGACTGTCACCAGAACTCTTGATGCTTTTGTTGCGACTCCCAGCGGAACTCAGCCCGGTACAGTCTTCGTCATCCAAGCGCCCTCGAACGCTGCGAACCCAGGTGCGGGAAGCACAGCGGGTACGGGTCCTGATGGTCAGCCCCTTGAAGCCTCTTTTGCACCCGGCTCAGGAGCAACGGCAAACCCGAACCCAGGAAACCCTGCTGCTAGCAACGATCCTGCACGAGGCCCTGCTGGAACTGGTGCGCCGGGTCCGAACGCTACTGGAGGCAGTGGACCGGGTCAGAACCCCGGCCAATCTGGATTACCGCCATCCGGCCCCCAAGCTTCCCCCGCGGCTACGCCCGGAGGGTCATCTCCTGGAGGCCCAGGTGACGTGGTTCAGCCCGGTCTTTATGTGACTTCTGAGATCCAGTACACAGGGACTCTCCAACTCCCAGGACGTGTAACAATCTCTTCGATTGCTCCGCAAGGGACGGCGTTGGGCACGATCATCGTTGCTGTTCCTCCCGGCCAGGCTTCAAACGGTGGTTCTGCTGGTCCTTCAAATGGCGCCCTTCCGAACAACCAGTCACCGGCCGGTCAGCCAAACAACGCAGACCCAACAGCCTTCTTCAACACCCTGGCCGCACCTGGCGCGACGGGCGCTACCGGCGCTGGCAATGCTGGCTCGGGAGCATCAGCTCCTGTCAACGGCGGAACTCCTGGTGCTCCAGCAGCAACCGACCCTGCAACTGGACAGCCGCTGACAAACCCCGATGTCTTGTCCGCGGCAGCATACATCACATCGACCGTCACTTCCGCTGGCCTTAGTGTGCCGAGAACTACCATCGCGACTATTGCCCCTCAGGACTCCCGGCCAGGAGTGTTCGTTGTTGCGGTCCCGAATAACCCAGTCAATTCTGGAGGGTCAGCTGTTCCTCAGTCCAACGCTCCTGGTGCTCAAGCTCCCGGAGAAACTGTTCTGGCTCAGACTGTTCAGCCACAAGGTGCTGCGTCTTCAGCTGGAGCTCAGCCCAATGTTCCCGACGCTCAGTCCAACGTTCCGGGAGCCCAGTCGAATGTTCCAGGAGCCCAGTCCAACGTTCCTGGGGCTCAGTCTAATGCTCCTGGTGCGCAAGCCCCTGGACAAACTGTTCTGCCTCAGACCATTCAGCCTCAAGGTGGTGCTTCCTCGGCCGGAGCTCAGTCTAATGTTCCCGGTGTGCAGGCTCCCGGGGCAACTGTGCAACCCCAAAGTGTTCAACCTCAAGGAGCTGCTTCTTCAGCTGCGCAGGGTAGTGTACCGGGACAAGCTGGGTCCCAAGGCGGTGTCAATCCCGGTGCGACTGCAGCAACTCCGGGTGCCAACACCGTCCCGGGAGCCGGAGATCCCTTGGCTCAGGGAATTATTACTGTCACCTCTACTGTTTTGTTTACGGGGCCGGGTCAGATCACTGCTCCGACAGCAATCTCTACGATTCCAGCCAACGGTAATAACCCGCCGACTGTTATTCAGGCAATTCCTGATCTCTTCGTAACTGTTACCATCACCGTCACCGCAGCGGACCCGACTCTTCAGCCGACGGCTTTCTCTACGGTGCAACCGACAGGGAACACTCCCGGTACAGTTCTAGTAGCAGCACCGGCTTCATTCGTCACATCACGAGTGCTCTTCACCGGTCCCGGCTCGATCTCAGCGGCCACCCCAATTTCGACGATCTTGCCTCAAGGGACCACGCCAGGAACAATCATCTTGGCGCAACCCTTCGTGAGCGTCACATCATCCAGGCCTGGCAGCACTGCTAGAACCGGACCAGTGGGCACGGTAACAGTTGTGACTACGATCTTCCCGTCCAACGGCCCTGCAACGGTAGTCTTTGCTGAGCCCGACCCGACAGCTCCGCTCTTCGGCTCCTTCGTGACATCTGTTGCGAGTGCCGCGAGTAACATTGCGTCTTCAGCTCTTGTTCCGGTGTCTACTGTCTTGCCACAAGGTTCAGTTCCCGGAACGATCGTGTTGGGACAATCCGCCGCGCAGACACAGCCTGCTCCAGCTAGCAGCGGAGGCGCATCGCCTGCCAACACCCCATCAGGTGCAGGAACATCACCAACGGCGTTGGCCAACTCCATCGCTAATGGTCAGTCCTCACCTGCTGCTGGTGGTTCTCAAGCGGTGTCGTCCCCTGCTGGTGCTGCGACATCGCCACCGGCTTTGGCCAATTCCATTGCTAGTGGCCAGTCCTCGCCTGCCGCTGCTGCTTCGCAAGCTGTGCCATCATCATCTGCTCCGGGTATCCCCAATACGGGCGGACAGGCTGCTTCACCGGGGGCCTCTGCCGTAAGCTCGCAAGTGCCTTTGGACAACTCTCTCGGAATTACTGGACCAACAACTCTTGCCACTGCTACCGTGGACCCCAACGATCCTAACGGCACTCGGGGTGGTAGAGGTCTCGTGACTCGTCTGATCACCTCAGCTGGTGTCACTGGATCCACGACCGTATCTACCATTGTTCCCACGGACCCGCTGCTGGCAATCACAGTTGTGGTCATTGTACCGGCGCTTCAGCAACCTGCCATAACTACTCCGGCTACTTCCATCGGTAGAGGCATCACAACCAGCTTCATTACCTCTTCAGGGGTCACCGGATCAACGACTGTCTCTACCATCACTCCAACGGACCCGCTCCTGCAAATCACAGTTGTGATTATTGTGCCAGCGCTTCTGCAACCTGCGGCAACTACTCCGGCCGTTTCGTCCGCTAATACAGGTGTACAGGGGGCCTTGCAGACATCTCCTGCTCCGGCCCAGTCAGCTACATCAGTCCCAGCAGCGGTGTCATCCTTGCTCGTGGACCCGGCGATTCTATCTTCAGCTAGCTCTGTCCTAGGTCAATCTTTCGTTCCTACTCCGTCGAACTCGTCATTGCCCCAGTCTTCTGCCGTGGCATCTTCTGCGGCTCAGAGTTCCTCAGCTGGCCAGTCCAGTGTGCAGCAGCCATCAACCACTCCCGCGGTTAGCTTGAGCGCTTCTCAACCCATTTCATCCTCGGTGGGAGGCACTCAAGTTGGGTCGTCTAACGCTGCGAGCATCGCTCCTTCAAGCGACCCTGCTCTCGGACAGTCCTTTGTAAGCTCGGCTGGAGTTGGAACTTCATCAGTTGATCCAGCCGCTTCATCGTCTGCATCTGTGGGACCAGGAACGTTTGTTGCTAGCACCCCAGGCTCCAGCGGTGTTGTTTCTGCTACGCCAGGCGTTTCTCAATCCGCATCTGTTGACCCGCAGTCACTGGCATCCTCGTCAGGAGCATCAGCCTCCGGAGCACCTTCGTCAAGCGTTTTCTCGTCAGGGGCTGTTGGCTCTGTTTCGTCTTCGGGCTCTCCCCAAAGCTCGACAGCAGCTCCTGCCGTCTCCTCGTCAACATTCCTGACTACTTCAGGCGGCTCAACCTTCTTGACTACAGTAGTCCAGACTTCAAGTGCTATTCCGGAAAGCCAGGCATTCCAGTCAAGCGGAACTGCGGCGTCCAGCGCAAGTGATCTCGCCTCTGGATCGCAGTCTGCTACTGCAAGCATCTCAGTCTCACAGTCTGAGTTCGCTTCGTCCTCCGGCACTGCCCAAGTATCTCCAAGCATTGGCTCTATCTCTTCAGATCCGGTCGTCTCCAGTCAATCTGCGGCAGAAACCCTCAGCTCCTCCGTGTCGATCTCAGATTTTGATATCTTCAGCTCATCCTCAGCGCAAAGCCAGGCTAGCTCCGTGTCTGACTCTGCATTCTCTAGCGGAACATTCACTCAATCTTCCGCTGCTCTCAGCTCGGAAATTTCATCATTTGCGACCATCTCTGAGAGTGCCAGCCCTGCTTCGTCAACAGGCCTTTTGACGTCCTCCGCTGAAACTCAGTCTGGCTTTACCTCCAGCTCTGAAGCACTCGGAGCTTCGTTCATCTCTACGACTTTGACTTCCCTCATCACATCTGACGGAATCACTTCGGTTTCAACGACTGTCCTTACGACGGCGATTAGTGTTTCCCAGCCTACTGAGACAGCGTCAGGCAACACTTTGTCGCCTAGTGCCTCCTCGGCTCTGAGCTCAACAGATCCAGACTTTGCATCGCTCACGTTGTCTACCGCCAGTTCTGACAGTGCGACTAGCAACTCGGCCACAGATGCTTCAGCGTCCTTGAGCGCGTCAACGGAGACGAGCAGCGCTAGCTTCGAAACATCAGCTTCTGGTGCTTCCTCGTTCACGTTGTCCGACATTACCTCAGCTTCGCTCAGTAGCGAGGCCACTATTTCTGGAAGCACAGCCTCGGCCTCGGCCTCTGATACAGACACTGCCCTGTCGAACGTTTTCACCAGCGCTTCGTCTTCAGAATCTGTGGTCATCACCGCTAGCACCGACTCTGCGGGCTCGTCAGCCACCACCTTCAGCTACACAGTCACCCCTGAGAGTGTCACCACAGACTCGGCGTCGAGCCTGTCTTCGGCCTTCTCCGATTCGAGCTCATTCGGCAGTGTCAGCGCCAGTGAGACAAACAGCGCCAGCACAACTGATACTTTCAGCGATGTCTTCCAGTCCACAGCCAGCACAGATTCGGCGTCCTCTGAGATTACCGGTTCCGCTAGTGATAGCTTCACCAGCTTCGCTACATCTTCTGACCCTGCCAGTGCTACCAGCACCAGCGCTTTCACATCCGACCCTACGTCTTCATTTGGATCAACGTCAGTGGAGGAGGCTTCGTTCATCACAACCAGTGACGGGACCTCGACCTTCGTCACTTCTGTCTCGATCTCGAGCCCCACGACTCAGTCATTCTCGGATGAGACATCAAGCGCTTTCTCAACGGAGTCATCCATCTCGGCGTCAGACCTGAGCTCATCCGCTTTCACCACCGACTCGGCCTCTACTAACTCTGTGTCTGATCTTACTTCTGGCTCTTTCAGCTCCGAGTTCTCCTCAATCACCCCTACATCGCTGTCTTCTGTCTCGGGCGAGTCCGCGTCTTCCGTCTCACTCACCGACTCTTCGGCGCTAGGCCAATCCCTCGTGTCCACTTCGAGTGACGAGACAGGTTCGGCAACTCAGTCCACGGCACAGACATCGGCATCATTCACCTTGCCGACATTGACGTCCGTCACTGACTCTGCGTCTCTCTCCGAATCCGACACGGCCTCCAGCTTCGTGACGCCTACGGTCTCGTCAGAGAGCACCATCAGCACCGACTCGGACTCGTTGATTAGCACCACTTCTGGACTTTCCACCACCGATAGTGTTTCGACTGCGTCGGGCCTGTCGACTGACAGCTTCTCGTCCGCATCGGCCCTTACATCTCAGTCTGAGTCTGCTTCGTCCGCAAGCGAGTCCGGATCAACTTCGCTGGACCTTGACACGTTGATTAGCACGACAAACTCGGCTGAGTCAACGATCTCCAGCGGCACAGAGACTCCATCGACCTTGAGCTCTGCTTTCACAACGGAGTCTACGGATTCCGCACTCTCAAGCAGCACGGAATCGGCCTCTGGGGTCACCTCGGATCTCACAACGGCATCCACTGAATCTGGTCTGTCCACAGCATCAACTGAGTCCGGTTTCTCAACAGCATCGACGGAATCTGGCTTATCCACAGCGTCAACTGAATCGGGAGTCTCACAGACTTCCACAGCTTCAGACCCCACCATTACCATTAGCTTCATCACATCATTGGAGACTACAGACTCGGCTGGTTTCCAGTCATTCACCACCTTCACGACCAGCTCAGAAGTGAGCATCTCGGCAGACTCATCCGCCGCGACTATTTCGAGTGATACCGAGAGCACGTCTTTCACGTCGTTCTCTTCCGCCTCTGAGACTGACTCAGTCACCTCTCTTTCTTCCGACAGCGCGCTGAGCTCCTTCACGGATAGCAGCTCATTCTCGGTGGAGACCACCTCTGGCAACACTGTGTCCAGTGAAGACATCTCTAGCGACACGGCCTCCACCCAGTCTGCCGTGTCGACAGACAGCACTTCATCTGATTCTCTCCAGGACAGATCTCTGGAGTCAACATCCACGGACAGCGGTACCGAGTCGACTCTGTCTATTTCAACCGCTTCTGGTGAGAGTTCAATCAGCTCGAGCGATGCTACCACGACATCCGGTTTCACGTCTAGCGAGACTGAATCTTTCTCCACTCTGCCTAGTGCTTCCCCAGGCGCCACCACGAGTCTCTCATCAGTTGAGACGGGCACCACATCCAGCTTTTCTGCATCTGAGTCGGACATTACTTCAACGAGCCTGGACCCGTCGACCGGTTCCACCACGCTGGCAAGCGAGACTATCAGTTCCGCAACCAGCCTGGAGCTCGACAGTCTGTCGTCCTCGACCGACTCTTTGTCTACTGGCTCTGTGAGCAGCGGCGATAGCACGATCTCCTCATTTACAGACTCAGCCTCCACAGACTCAGCCTCGGCAGAAACCTCGTTCAGCTTGACGACATCGACTTTCGAGTCTTCAGGGTCCTTGACTGAGTCGGTCTTCACTCTTACCCCTAGCACAACGAGCAACTCGTTCAGCTCAGAGTCAATCGCCTCTGAGTCGAGTGACAGCTTGACTAGCGACAGCGCTTCAATCACCGGTACCTCGGCGACATTGACTGTCTCAAGTGAGACCGATACTACACTATTCGACAGCTTCTCTCCCACTTCGACGCTCTCTGGCGAGAGCACGGCATCCACTGGAGACAGCACCTCGACTGAGAGCTTCTCAACAGAGAGTGCGTCGACGGACAGTATCTCGACGGCTAGCATCTCAACCGACAGCATTTCCACCGATAGCGCTTCGACTGCTAGTATCTCTACCGACTCTATCTCCACAGATAGCATCTCGACCGCTAGCATTTCGACGGATTCTATCACAACAGATAGTGCCTCAACTGACAGCTTCTCAACCGCCAGCGTTTCGACCGAATCCATCTCCACTGACAGTGTTGCCACGGACAGTCTCATCACTGCAAGTGTATCGACGGATAGCATTTCTTCCGACACTATTACAGCGAGTGCCACTTTCTCAACCGACACTGCTTCCACCGATAGCATCTCTACGGACAGCGCCTCTACGGATAGCATTTCCTCCGACACTATTACAGCGAGTGCCACCTTCTCAACTGACTCTGCATCCACCGATAGCATCTCTACGGACAGTGTCTCCACGGATAGCATCGATCCCCAGAGCCTTGTTTCCACTGATTCTGCTTCATCCGACAGCAGCGCAACCGGCTTGACGACTCTCAGCGATGCTACTAGCACGACGGACTTTAGCGTGTCTCTCTCAACGGACTCCGTGACGAGCGCTTCGGACACTAGCGGTCTAACCACTGGAACTGAGTCGACAGACTCAATAACGACTGCATCGGAGACTAGCGCGTTTACCACTGGAACCGAATCGACAGACTCAGTAACAAGCGCCTCGGACACAGCCAGCGGGCTGACTACTGGCACAGAGTCGACAGACTCGATTACGACCGCATCAGAAACCAGCGCTCTCACGACTGAAAGTGCGTCCACGGACTCGCTTTCTTCCTTGAGCGCGGCCACAAGTGACTCCAGCCAGTCAGTCGAGAGCCAGATCTTCCAGACCGTATCCTCTGATAGCACCGCGTCGGCGTCGACCGCGACAGAGTCGACTCTGTCCGACATCACAGCATCAGAGAGCACGGTGTCAGAAAGCACGGCAACCGACAGCGCCTCAACTCAGAGCACGTTCTCTGACAGCATTACGACCGGCAGCACTGCAACGGCCAGCACTACCAGCGAGACTGGAATCACTTCCAGCAGCGAGAGTGTCTTGACTGATGCTTTCACAACTGAGAGCACCGCAACGGACAGCACTGCTACAGAGAGCATCACTTCTCAGAGCACGGCATCAGACAGCGCCATCACTCAGAGTCTGTCGACAGAGAGCACCGGCACAGACAGCACAGCCAGCGAGACTGGAGTAACTTCCAGCAGCGAGAGTGTGCTGACCGATGCTTTCACAACTGAAAGTACGGCGACCGATAGCATCTCAACTTTGAGCACGGAAACTCAGAGCACAGCTACCGACAGTTCGGCAACCGACAGCATCTCAACACAGAGCACCGCCTCAGAGAGCACGGCTACCGACAGCTCCGCAACTGACATTTCAACGCAGAGCACTGCCACAGAGAGCACCGCGACCGAGTCCGGAGCTTCCACTAGTAGCGAGTCAGTTCTCACTGATTCTCTCATCACTTCCGCGACCGAAAGCATCTCGACTCAGAGCACAGGATCGGATAGCACAGCAACTGAAACTGGAGTGTCCTCCAGCAGCGAGTCGGTCTTCACTGATTCTCTCATTACTTCAGCAACCGATAGCATCTCTTCACAGAGCACCGCCACAGATAGGACTGCTTCTGAGACTGGCGTGTCTTCCTCCAGCGAGTCTGTTCTCACCGATGCTTTCACAACTTCAGCTAGTGAGAGCACGGCAAGTGACAGCACGGCATCAGGAATCACAGCAACGGACAGCATTTCAACAGACAGTACAGCTACAGATAGTACAGCAAGTGAGACTGGAGCCTCGTCAAGCAGTGAGACGGTTCTTAGCGACGCCTTCACCACCTCAACTCAGGACTCGACATCCTTGTCGGAAAGCATCAGCGCTACGGTTATCACTTCTGATGGTATCACAACCACGCTGTCAGATCTTACCACTGCCTCCACAGACAGTGCCGCGTCAGACAGCTCCTTGTCAACAACTACCGACGCTTCTCAGACGGGCTCAGATATCTCCACCGCTAGCGAGAGCACTGCATCTGGAGCCACGTCCTCAGACGCCACGGCCACATCATCGGGAGACATTCTGTCTGATATTCTCTCGCTCAGCTCCACTGATTCTGCGTCTTCGGCCAGCACTGCGTCAATCACAGACGGGGAGTCAACGACTCAGCCAACCATCAGCGCTACGGAGTCGGACCTCACAGCATCATCGACAGGAATTACCTCATCTGACGACCTTTCCACCGCGTCGACTGATTCATCTACTGGAGTTACCTCGGCCTTCTCAACAGACTCAGAAACAGCGACCGCATCGGACGCTAGTATCTCGTCTTCAGAGACTGCCTTGTCAAACGCATTCTCATCTCCCACAAGCGACTCCGAGACTGCTTCCACCACGCAGGATACTTCTTCGGCATTCACAGGAACGACATTGTCAGACGGCCTTTCAATCACCGCCACGGATTCGACAACCCAGGTTAGCTCAACTGTCTCTTCCGATGGAGAGACAGCCACCACCTCGGATGCCAGCATCTCCTCGTCAGAGACTGTCTTGTCGGATGGCTTCTCTTCGACTACAGGTGATGCATCGACTGCGTCTGATGTCTCTTCGACAGCGTCGGATCCAACGGGCGAGAGCGCTACTCTCTCAGACACGCTCATCACCAGCGCTCCTTCAACTTCGGATACAGCCACCGCCAGCACTGCCGCTTCCTCGGACGACACCAGCTTGCTATCGGATGTGGTATCATCTACTGACAGTCTGACGACGGATGGCGCAAGCTCCACGGAAGCCTCGGCGTCTTCCACGGACACCGTCACTTCCGCCGATGCTACGGCCACGGATAGCTCCAGTGTCCTTTCAGACCCAACCGCCTCATCTGATACTTTGACTTCATTGTCGGCTACCTCCTCAGATGACGCGCTATCCAACGTCCTTTCATCTACTGACGCTACTGCCACGTCGGACAGCAGCGCATCAGACACTGCTTCGGCATCTGACTCCGGCATCACCAGTCCGGCATCCCTCTCTGAGACGGACACGGCTTCCATCACTTCAGATGCTACTGGCGTTACTTCTTTGGATTCCGATCTCTCAACGCAAGCCACCTCTAAGGACTTAATAACTGGCTTGTCTACCGACTCGGCTAGTGAAACATCTGCCACTGGAGCCACGTCCATCACCGATCCCGCTTCGTCTGCTACCGGCGACCTTTCTATCGATCCTGATCTGCTCACCCAGGACAGCTCTACGGATTCTCTCACGGCATCTACGACCGATCCAGCTAGTGACACAGCATCAACCGATGTTTCATCTGCCACTGACATTACGTCTGCCACTGACATTACGTCTGCCACTGACATTACGTCTGCCACTGACATTACGTCTGCCACTGACATTACGTCTGCCACTGATAGTGCTTCTACTACCGACAGTGCTTCTGCCACTGATAGTGCTTCTGCTACCGATAGTGCTTCTGCTACCGACAGTGCTTCTGCCACCGATGTTGCATCTTCCGCAACTGGTAGCATTTCCGTGGATCCTGATCTCCAGAGCCTCACCTCAACCGGTGGAGTTACGTCCTCTGAGAGCGGCGCGACAGCAGACCCGACTTCCTCCGCATCTCTCACCGACAGCGCCATCTCGGCCACCGGCACGTCGCAGACTGACAGTCTGTCGACTCAAGCCAGCACGACAGATGATTCTCTATCATCATTGACTAGCGCGTTGAGCGATGCTCTCACGTCATCAGAGTCAACGGCGTCGGTGTCGGCCAGCGCGACAGATTCAGCCAGCTTGACGGACCCGGCGAGCGCAACGGACTCGGCCAGTGCTACCGACTCAGACACGGCCTTGCCGGCTAGTTTGACGTCGAGTGGTGCAGCTTCGGTTACGAGCTCAGCGGGCGAGAGCAACACGGATATCTCAGTCTCGGCTACTGAGACTTCATCGGCCTCATTGACAACTTCAGAAGACGCTACCAGCTCCCTGGAAACAGCATCGGTTACGGGAACTGCCTCAGCGACGAGCTCAGCTGACGAGGACATTCTATCCTCACTTCTCAGCTCAACAGCATCTGATTCAGTCACATCGTCGGACACAGGAGCCTCAGCTACGACAGATAGCACAGCATCCCTGACGACCGCGGAATCTTCCAACGACTTGTCGTCTGTGCTGAGCTCTACTTCGTCGCCCACGGCCACTCTTCCCGTCGACACCCAGATTCTGCAGAGCACCACGTCCTCTTCCACTGGTTTGGCATCATCAGAGAGCGCGGCCGCATCTTCGGCTAGCTCTGCAGCCAGCGAGGCGTCCTCATCTCAAGCAGAGTCGGCCTCCAGCTCCCAGGGTGCCAGCAGCATCGCTTCTTCGGCAACCACAAGCGGTCCATCAGCCACCACTGCGCTCTTTGACACAATCTCGATTCCTTACACTGGATCAATCGGCGCTTCTGGCACTATCCCACTTACCACCTTCCTACCGACAGGTACAGGACGTGGAACAGTTGTGGTGGGCACCAACCCTGCAGCCTTCGTGACGTCGACTGTCAGCGCCGGTATATCGTTGAACGCAGCGGTAGAAATCGCAAGTCTTGTGACGGTCTCAATTATTGCCCCTATTGGAACCTTGCCTGGAGTTTTCATCGTGTCGCCTGTACTCAGGGCACGCTTCCTGACCACCACGGTTCGGTACACGCCTACTGCAGGAGAGCAGATCACCGCACCGACGGTCCTGACATCGCTTGATCCCTCAGGAACTGCTCCGGGAATAATTGTCATTGCTGCCCCTGAGTCTTTCTTCTCAACGACGGATGCCGCTACATCGGCTGCTACGACAGATCCATCAGTCAGTGACGCCAGCACCGACGCATCAGCGTTGCCCTCGTCTTTGCCTGCGACAGCCACTCAGACGGCATCAACCTCACTGGATCTGGACATTCTTTCCTCAACTTCTGCAAACTCCCCAACTTCTGCCTCGGCCTCAGAAGACCCAACGGCTACCTCGTCAGGCTCAACTGGCGAGAGCTCGTTAGTCGCTACACCGACATCGGATGCCACGGGAACTGGCTCCGATCCTTCTTCGGCTACAGCCTCTGGAGACGCATCCACATCCTCGGGCGCTCTTCCCGCTAGTCTCACGAGCCTCTTGTCGTCTGCCACTGATGTTGCCTCAGAGACCCAAGCTACTACAGGTCCTGCCTCCTCAGTTGCCTCGCCTTCAGCTTCAATCAGCCTGGACGACGACTTGACCTCCAGCACCGCCTTCTCTAGCGCTTCGAACCCTGCGACCGACTCATCCATCATCGCCAGCAGCTCAACAGACTCTGCACTTGGTCAAGAGACCGTAAGCTCATCTGCGGGCGCTACCACGTCCAACGGGGGTTCCTCGGCAGGCTTGACAAGCAACGTTTCACCGACAGCTTCCGTGTCCGGTGATCCCACTGAAGCCACGCCTGGTAGCACGTCTATTCCCGAGACTTCGGTCGCATCAACCGCCTCGGCCGGCGCTACGAGCGAGGCTTCTCAGGCATCAAGCGGTAGCAGTGCTCAAGATACCGCTGCTCAGTCAAGCACCGATCCTCTGGGTGCCACCCTGCTGCCAACGTCGTCTGGCGCAGGTTCATCACCAGTTGCTTCAGCAGATGCGTCCAGCACTTCGGCAGAGGTCACAAGCCAAGACACCGTCAGCTCTGTTGCAACCACTGCCGCCACAGGTGCGCAGTCCGCGAGCGCTTCAAGCCTCGCTGGAACCTCTACCGAGCCCGCTGTCAGTGCAAGCAGCGCACAAGATACCTCGGTTTCGGTATCTGCTAGTGCGACAGAAGTCATCTCCCAGACAAGCGCAGCCAGCTCTGCGGTCTCATCGAGCGCAGCCGCTTCAACCGCTTCAGAAAGTGTCGACGATCAGATCTTCAGCTCCACGGCTATCTCGTCCGGTGGTCCCATCTCTTCAACGGCAACTGCCACTTCCGCCTCGGTCGATCCTCAAAGCCTTACGGCATCGGCAAGCTCATCGGAGGGCAGTCTCATCCCGTCAAGCACGCAGGCCACTGTGGGATCGGGTACGAGCACGTCGCCGGCCATTGAGTCAACTAGCTCCCAGGAGTCTGTCATTCAGTCCAGCTCAGCTGAACCTACGGTCGCATCTTCCCTTGGTGCTAGCTCCAGCGCGATCCAGTCTGCATCCTCAGAGATCGCAAGCTCTTCAGCCGCGCTGTCCAGCGCAGCCGCATCATCTGCTCAAGCCAGCTCCTCCTCAAGCGAGCTCGTGGAGTCAAACATCTTGGGCTCCTCGCAGCAGTCGACAGCCGTCGCTTCTACTTCAAGCAACGGTGCCACCTCTGCGTCCAGCCCGGCGGCATCTAGCATAGAGCCATCCGCTTCGGCCACATCAGCCGCGGTCTCCTCGGCCATCCCGTCTTCCACCATTCCGGCATCCAGCACCCCGGCTTCAATTAGCTCCTCCGTCTTCTCAACATCCCAAGAGCTTGACACCATCATCCCCAGTTCGACAGCTGCTGTATCAAGCTCACAGGCTGCGGCATCAAGCTCTGTGGCTGCAAGCTCCTCGGCCGCCAACTCTGCCCAGAGTTCTGCTGCTTCCAGCTTGTCTTCGTCAAACGCTGCAGTCTCAAGCTCTGCTATTTCGAGCGCACCAGCTACTTCATCAGAAACAGGTCTCGACAACATTCTGTCCTCGTCAAGCTTGGCCGGTGCTTCAAGCTCCGCTGCTGTCTCTTCTGCACAGGTTTCCTTGTCACCTGCAGTTTCGGCCAGCGCAACTCCCTCGGGCGTCTCTTCAGTCTTGTCGTCAGCTAGCTCTGCAGCCGCTTCTTCAGCAGCCGCATCAGCTGCCTCGTCTGTTGTCTCATCGAGCATCGCATCCAGCAACGCGGCAAGTGCTCAGGCAAGCAGCTCTGCAGCCAATCCTTCAAGCAGTCTCACCGGCCTTGACAACATCTTGTCTAGTTCCTCGACTGCTGCCCCCGCAGTTTCGTCTAGTTCAGCTGCCGCATCAGCATCTCAGTCTTCCTCAGCGGCTGCTTCCTCTGCGGCGGCTTCCTCTGCGGCATCATCTGCACCCGCAAGCAGCGCAGCTGCCAGCTCATCAGCCATCTCGTCGGCTGTATCGTCAGCAATCTCGTCAGCTGCAGCTTCAGCCAGCAGCTCTGCTGTCAATCCTTCAAGTAGCATCTCCGGCCTAGACAACATCTTGTCTAGTTCCTCAACCGCCGCCCTCGCACCTTCATCCACCGCTGCCTCGCCAGTGGCCTCATCCTCATCTCCCGCTGCACAAACGAGCAGCGCAGCAGCAAGTGCGTCGGCCAGCGCCGCAGCTGCCTCATCAGCAGCGTCAGCAGCGGTGTCTTCAGCTAGCAGATCAAGCAGTTCAGCCGTTGCTCAAGCCAGCAGTTCAGCTGCCAACCCTTCGAGTAGCCTCTCAGGCCTTGACAACGTCTTGGCCAGCTCGACTACTTCTTCTGTCCGATCATCATCTGCGCCTGCCTCGGCAGCGGCATCTTCTTCAGCTCAGCCCGCAGCTGCCTCAAGCTCCGCAGCTGCATCATCCGCAGCAGCACCAGCAGCTTCATCATCCTCGGCGGTGCGGTCCTCCTCTGCAGCCGCAGCTCAAAGTAGTTCTGCATCACCGTCGGTCAACGCGGCCTACGTCACATCGCAGGTGTTCAGCGCCGGTATCACCGCCCCTACGACTATATCCACTGTCGCGCCGCAGGGAAGTGCCGCTGGTACATATATCGTGGCCCAGCCAGCGCTTTTCGTCACCTCTCAGGTGTTTAGTGCTGGCATCACCGCCCCTACGACCGTCGCAACTGTCGCGCCGCAGGGCACTGCTGCTGGTACATATGTTGTGGCCCAGCCCGCGCTGTTCGTCACATCACAGGTTTTCAGCGCTGGTCTCACTGCTACCTCAACAATCTCGACCATTGCGCCACAGGGTACCGCTCCTGGCACTTACATCGTGGCCCAGCCTGCTCTCTTCGTCACCTCTCGGGTGATTAGCGCTGGTATCACCGCTCCCTCGACAATCTCAACTATCGCGCCGCAGGGCAGTGCCGCTGGCACGTATGTCGTAGTCCAACCTGCGGTCTTCGTCACTTCTCAGGTTCTCTACACTGGAGGTGACCCAGCTGTGACCGCTCCAACCGCAATCTCGACGATTGCGCCCTCTGGAACGGCACCGGGCACTGTGATCGTCGCCTCTCCTGGATCGTACGTCACCTCACGAGTTCTGTACACTGGAACGAATACAGCAGTCACAGGACCAACTCGAATCTCAACCATCCTTCCGTCAGGATCAGTGGCTGGAACAATCATTGAGGCCGATCCTGCTTCGTACATCACCACGACAGTGCAGTACAGCGGCCCGAGTACTCTGACTGGTCCCGTTGCAATTTCCACCATCGCCCCTACTGGAGTCGGCGCTCCTGGAACGATCATTGTTGCGACACCAGCAGCAGTCTTCGTGACCTCTCAAGTGCCGTACGGTGGTACAGTTGCTCTTACGGCGCCGACAACAATCGCGACCATAGCTCCTAGCGGAACGAACCCGGGCACATACCTCGTTGCTAGCCAAGCCCTTCTCTTTGTCACTTCTCAAGTGGCATACAGCGGCACAGCTGCCATCACAGCGCCTACAACGATAGCAACGATTCCACCTATCGGCACTAATGCCGGCACTTACATCGTGGCGACTCAGGCAGCCCTATTTGCTACTTCTCAGGTCGCCTATAGCGGTACAGCAGCTATCACAGCTCCCACCACGATCTCGACCATTGCTCCGGTTGGCACCAACGCAGGAACATATATCGTGGCGAACCCGGCCCTATTTATCACTTCTCAGGTGGCGTATAGTGGCACAGCCCCCATCACAGCGCCTACAACGATAGCAACTATTCCACCAGTCGGCACTAATGCAGGCACTTACATTGTGGCGACCCAGGCAGCCCTTTTCGTCACTTCGCAGGTTGCGTACAGTGGCACGGCAGCTATCACAGCTCCAACCACGATCTCGACAGTTGCTCCGGTTGGCACGAACGCAGGCACCTACATTGTCGCCAACCCGGCTCTCTTCGTTACTTCCCAGGTTGCCTACACAGGTACGGCTGCGATCACAGCACCAACTACCATCTCAACAATCGCGCCTGTGGGTACGAACGCAGGCACTTACGTGGTTGCTGCTCGTTTCATCACTTCTGCGGTGGTATACAGCGGCTCAAGCTCGATCACTGGCCCTGTCCCAGTTGCAACTGTCCAACCAAGCGGCACGGCTCCGGGAGTTGTCGTGGTTGCTTATCCGGCTTTGTTCGTCACGTCAACTCAGGCGTACTCAGGAACTGTGCCGATCACAGGCCCAACAACTATCACGACGATTGCTCAGCAAGGCACTGTTCCAGCCACCGTGGTCGTGGCAACTCCGGCCCAGCAGGCCTCTTACGTCACTTCAACTCTCTTCCTCACGGCAGCTAACGCTGCCTCAACGACAATCACAACAATTTCACCGGCAGGTACTGCACCTGGTACAGTCGTCGTCGGTCTTCCGGCTCTCTTCGTGACGGTCGTCGGTCCATACAGTGGCACTGCCACACCGACAGGCTCCACAACAGTTTCCATTGTCCAGCCATCAGGAACCGCGCCGGGCACTGTGTATGTCCAAACGCCTACGTCGGCATCTGCAGTGGCAGCATCAAGCACACCTGTTCTCGGCCAAAGCTTAGTAGCCAGCTCAACAGCAGCCGCTGCTGCTTCATCCAGTAGTCTGTCCACTCTGGTTACCAGAGCGGCTACTTCTTCTTCCTCGTCTGCCGCTGCATTGGGTCAGTCATTGGTAGCTTCATCTTCAGCAGCCGCGGCCGCCTCCTCTGCAAGATCATCAACAAGCTCTGCAGCGGCGGTGGTGGCGTCATCGTCCTCTTCAGCACTATCTGCAAGAGCTGTGTCTTCGTCTCTGTCAAGCTCCGCTGCCGCTGTGTCTTCGTCAAGTAGAGCCGCAGGCAGTAGCAGCAGCAGTAGCTCCAGCATCAGATCTACGTCTACCTCATCAATCAGTCGATCGGTAGCGTCAGCCACAGCGGGAGCCGCATTCTCTTGCCCCACAACTGGATACTTAGTTCAAAGCGGCAGCAGTGTGACCTTGTACTCTATCAACCTTGCCAATGGTGCTCAGACAGTAGTCACAAGCAACCTCGGCGGCGACAACACTCGCAACATCAACGCCCTTGGTTACAACTCTCGAGAAGATTACATGTACGCCATTTCTCAGCCCAACACCGGAACGAGCGACTACCGCGTCATCCGTATCCTTGGCAACGGCAACACGACAACAGTGTCCACATTTACTCAGGCATCTAAGCTGTACAACGCTGCCTTCAACACCGGAGATGTCGACCAAAATGGTCAGTACTGGATCTCAACCAGCGGTATCGACTGGTACCAGTACGACTTCTTGCCTGGTTCGGCCACGTACGGAAGACTGGTTGGATCAGGACTGGTTGACGGCGGAGCCGATGGGTACACCGTGGGAGACTGGAGTGTTGTTCCTGGATCCGGAGGTGGAGATCTTTGGACAATCGGTGTCAAGAACTTCAACTGCGTCCTCATGAGATGGAGCCGCACCACCAAGGACTGGACCATCGGACAGAGCCTGGGCGCTTTGACCGGTGTCACATCCGGAACCGCACCATTCTGGGGTGCTACCTACGCTACGACTGACGGATACCTCTACGCCGTTGAGAACAACTCCGGACAGGTCTGGAGAATCGACGTCGACGGATCATCTCCTCCGGTTCAACAAACGAGCGTACCGTCTACGAGCAGGAACGATGGAGCCAGATGTTTGGATTCAGGAAGCGTCTAAGGATTTATGATAACATGTCTAGTTTGATTTCTTTTGTACTCGACTCCACTTCGTGGAAGTCCTCCACTCCGGCAGAATACTTGACTGCCATTGAACATTAAAACATTAGTCGTAATCATAATAGTAATACCATTTTCAGTTCAATTCTCTTCACCATCAAACACGTGTGCACTGACGTGAAATAACTTGGTAGCGCGGCTGTTTTAGGAAAGAGACCAATTCAAGTTGGGCATTTTGAATAGCTCCATTTAGTAGGACGATTGATCCAGGATACGTGACGTTTAATATGGCCCGTAGGGTCAATAAATAATTGGGTGGAAGTGCATGGAAAGCTGCATGGAAGTGACCAGCATTCAATGCACTTCAGAATGCAGTATTCCATGCATTTTCACCCGATTATCTATTGACTCTACGCCTAGACAAATTGAACGTCCATTGCCCTTCCCCAACAGGTTTCTTCATTCGCCTACTTCGTCTACTGTCGAATTGAGTGGCGACCTCGAGCCTAAGCTCCCACCTAATGCCGCTGTGTACGCAAGATGCCAAGCTAAGCTTTGTCCATCCAAGTTGGTGCTATTCACCGACTGGCTCTTCATGAAGTTGTAGCTCTCAACCGCACCAGCTTTGTCAGCAATGGCAAGATTCACGTAGACATGGCCGACGAATCCTTCCCCAGAAAGCGCACCACTCTTGTTCCCTGCGAAATACTGGTCCCACTCTTCACGCACAAAGGACGGCTTCCGGACGTATGCGCTGCTCGGGACGATGGGGAGCATGTGGATACCCTGGATGAAGCTGGTCTTGTCGCCGAAGTAGGTTGTGTGGTTGACCTTTCGATCCCACAGGATCCCCGTTACTCGGTTGTCGACGAACTTCTCCGGCTGAACCTTGTTGTCGCTGGCGAGAAGGAAGTAAGACTGCAAGCTGCGAGCTGTGACAGCCAGCTGGAGATTTCCTCTGGCCTCGAGAGCCTCGTCACCAATCGTGCGTCCCCACATCTTGATAGCGTATGTTGAAAAAGCATCTTCTGCCGAGGACTCTTGATCCTTGCCATCGGGAGCCTCCAGAACGCCGCGAGCCCAACTGTGCCCGTGAAACCAGTCGAAAGAGCGCGAGAATGGAAAATATGGGTCTTCCGACGAGGGGTTGGACCAGTCTCGGATCAAGTTGTTGACCCAGATCTTGTTGACGGAGTCGTTCTTCTTGAGCCATGATGGGTTAAGGTGTCCTATAATTGCAGCCGTGTAGACATAGTAGCCGTAATGGAAATTGTGGTCATTGTAGTAGGTGTTTCCAAAGTCGATTGAGGAGTCGTTGTTGCCGTACGACCCTGAAGAAACCAATCCTTTCCAAACGTTGTCGTAGTAAAGGGGATTCGGCTCGAGGTTATTGACGTATCTGTCAAATGCTGCTTCAAGCTTGAATAGGGCTTCCTTCGTGTACGACTTGTCTCCGGCGATGCTGTTGACGGCATAGAGAGCCCTGGCGTATTTAGAGAAAGCGATGCCAGCGTAATATTTGGAAGTCAGATTGGTGATGGCAATGGCATCCAACTCTAGCTCCAGCTTCCCAGCGGCAATAATCGCGTCTTTGGCCTCAGTGGATACTGTTCCACCTCTTGCTTCCCTGGATCCGACGGAGCCCAGACGCGGCGACCATGGATCGAAGCCCATGTCTGTCGGAAGATCGGCCTCTATCATGGTGAAAGAATCTCCAAAAGTCGCAGTTGCAATGCCCTTTGTGGTGCTCGCGAGCTGGATGTCAGTCAGACCTCTGGCGGTTTTGCTGTCGAAAGATTTGACGTGATGCGGCAGAGCAAACATGAGTAGGGGAATGGTCCTGTCGCCGCCCTTCTTCCAGGAAAATGTGTACGATCCCGTTCTGCCTGATACCAATCCTTTCATTTCTCCTCCGATGGGGTAGACTCCCGCAGCTTGGCCGAAAATACGAGCGCCGGTTTTGCCTTTCGGGTTCCTCGCGACTTGCACACTCCCTGTGAAGTTACCAGGTCCCACGATAGTTCCGTTGTTGGCCATGGTAAGTTTAGGTGTCTGGGAGCCGCGGCTTGGGTTGACATAAATTAGCCACTCGACAGGTTGCCCATTTTCGCTCACCCAAGTTCTCCAACCAGGTGCGCCAAGCCCACGCGAGTCGTCTTCTAGTCTGGTGAGGTCCAAGAACCCTTTTTGTGACTGAATCAGGACAGTAGCACCGTGGTAGACTCCCGTCACAAACGCCATGCCTTGGACCAGGGGAAACGTGACAAGAGGCTCGGCTCCCTTCCTTGGTGCCAAGTTCACATTGACCGCAAAAGAGGTCAGGGAGTCGGTGGTCAAGACAGTCCCATTCTGCAGCTCTCGTGCGGATAGAGCGATAGACTGTTTGAACAAAGGGTCCTCGAAGGATTTTGCTGGGTCTCCGGAGCCGTAGATGAAATCTTCCCGGCTCGTATGGGATATTGAAAGGCCATGGCCCTGCTTGATCGTGTCATTCGACCACCAAACTGAGTATGGATGTGTCCATGTAGCGTTGTCCTGATTGTTGGCAAAGAAGTTGGCGTAGAATTTGTTGGTCTGAATCGGTCCGTCATGGCGCACGCCCACGGGCTTTTGGGGGTGATCGTCTCTAGTTGGGACCAAGATGGGCCGATCGTAAGAAATTGGCTGAAAAACGTTGACTAGCCGTCCTCTTCCCAAGTTTGAGGAGTCCGTGGTATTTTCGGGCGCCAAGATTGATGCTTGCCGTCTGTGCTGATGGCGTGGCAAATGGTGCGGGTATACTGCTTGTACCAACGCCAGGACGGCGAGGATAAAGAGGGAATGCATTTTCGGAAAAGACAGACTCAACGACACAGCAAGTGTGAACGTATGGCACAGGCACAGGCACAGGTAGCAGCAGCAACCAAAGTTGTGGGAACGCGTGAAATAGGGCGGCCATGGTTCAAATACTGAGATCTCAAAGGTAAAAAAGAGAATTTTGTTGTTTCATTGTTTCAATTGAGGGGGCGATGAGGGGACTCTCCAGCTTCTTCAGGGGATTTTGAGTTTATCATCATCTTAAATCTCATGCATTGCTACGTTGAGATCCTAGGTGAACTCAAATCTGAGTTTGGATCGTTGCTTGGCCTTTCCTCTTCATTTATTTCATATGGGGGTCGTTTCATCGGGGATAATCGACGTCCCGGCTGTCCACCGGCTCCTCCCACAAGCCGTACTAGCCCCTTTTCAGTACAAAGATATCCTCGCCTCAGTCACAGTTTTCACTACAGCTCAGTTGCCTTTTTGATGATTTAAAGGCAAGGCGCAGTCGACACTCAGCAACTCGGGTTCCGCTATCTTGCGACGCCCTGGGAATTGACTTTGACGTCACCCCGTCGGTTTAAGGCCAGACAATCTGCCCTCATCTTGAATACTGGGCAGAAGAAGAAAATTTTCTCGACCATCGATACGGGGCCGATGGTTCAACTGGCCTCTTATAAATTAAGAAAAGCAAGCGAAATTTTGAGTTCGCTTATACAGCTTATACAGATTCTTTCAAAATTGCTGAGCTGCGGTCATATTCGAACACACGCGGCAACGAAGGGACACGAAAGCACAGTATTGCTCAGATCCCATCGGGAGGTCTAGAATTCGTTCACGCCCTAAAATGGTTTCCTTTGTGTCTCTGGTGATTAAGTTCTTCATTACCACGCTCTACTATGTTGAACAACCGGCTTGCGGCGCACCTATTCATTGAAGCCCCGGCGATCCCCAGATGGCCCCCGTGTGATCCGTGTCTCCGAGATGTTATCAGCGCCTACAAATTAGCTCCATGTAGAACAAGTTAATCTAGTCCATCCCATCGTGACTTATGGCACGAGAAACAGATTCAGGCTACCATATGCATATAGCGAAAGGAAATGCTAAGATGCAGAACCTTGCATCAAACTGTTGGCTTTGTGCAAAGTTGAGATTGAGTCGGTCCCACAAGATCGGACATTTGCGAAGCCACATGTAATACTATTGCTCATAGCGTACTAAGTAGCTGTGCAGAGTAGACATGATGGTCTCTCTTCTTGCAATTGAAGGAGCAGTTATGAAATATGCGGGATGGGGGGGTCCTGGGTGACCAGTGGAGTTTGGCAGTATAATAGTCTCGAAAATGAGCGCATTTAATAGGGCTTGTTGGTTGGTTCGATGATCAGACGCTTCGGTTGCTTTGGTTCGGGTGTGCCGAACGCCGCGCCGGTGGGATACGCGGTTAGCGGTGAGAAATCTGTCCTTGGGCTCCGGGTCACATCGACATGGAACTTGTCAAGTCTTTTGCGCAAGGATTCCATATATTCGAATGGCAGAGGCTGCACTCATTTAACAACAATTATCAGAGCAATACATTTATGAAAGTTCCATTGCTTGAGGTGTAAGGGCAGCATGGTTCGCTTCACAGAGTACAGTAGCCCATACGAGCGTCCTAATCGCGCGGTAAGGGTAACTCATCCTCGAACTTGATTTTAACTTACGCATTTATAGTGTGATTCGTGTCATTCCAGAAAGGTAAACTAACCCCTGCATGTGCTTGTAAATACTCGTCTGCGGCCAGCCTAACCTTTTGAGGACAGATCAAATGTGATCGTCAAGAGATATGTCGCCAGTGTATGGCCGCCGGCATAATGTGCCTTCGCAGACGTCCAAAACAGTCGCGTAGGACACAAGAAAGATCAAACAATCGCTTGCTTCAACGAAGGTCAGATCAGCAGCAAGGCTCTGCTGAAGGAGCTCTAATGGGCTCACAGCTCCTTACCGCCATCAATGAGCAGACCTCAGCGCCTCGAAGCTTGAGTGTGTCTGGAATTTCTAATGCTCAGCGTCAGACGTCGCCAATTGAGTCACAAGAGAATGCTGCTACAACAATGCAAATGCAGGAGACAGACACCACGTCAAATCACTCATCTTCGGGAGTCAGCGAGACGAAGTTCTTGTACTCGCAAGCTGAAAGACTCCTTGAATTCTCGATGGAAACCTGGTTCAAGGACGAGGACTCATCTGGGCGTCACATTATGGAGACAGCGTTGAAGCAGGTTCGCACAGCGACGGGGACGACACCGACAAGCAGGCATGCTCCGGAACCTGACTTTGCGAGGAGCAAGCCGTATCCGAGTGTCGAGCTTATTGACAGTATCTTAACTTGTACGAAGTACTCTTCTGATGGCAAGATATGGTTGTTTAATCAGCTAACATCGTTGGATATTAGGGAGGGCACAGAACACCGGCTCGAAATACATAGCAGATTTGCAGTCCGTGATTTCTCTTCCAACTTTGGAGGCTCAGTGGCTAGCGCTCCGCAATGGACAAGCCAAAGAACCTCTACGAAACCACTATATAGTCTCCGTCAATTACGCAGCCTGGTGCTTCATTGGCATCAAGATGGCTGAGACTACCAGCGGCGATATTCATAAGCACCTGAAATGGAGCAAAAAGTTCTACGAGCAGAACATTATTTATGGTCTCCAGCATATGAGTGTGGCTGACTTGCCAACCACTGCGCTCTTCCAGGCCCTCTTATCGGGGGTAAGTCTATCTATCCCATCATTGAGAGAACGCATGTTGACCAGTCGTTTCGGCATTAGGCGATGTTCGCTTTCAACGTCGGGTGCTTCGAGAGAGCATGGACTTTCAACGCGGCGGCCTGTCGAGTACACGAGTCCCTCCCACTCATTGGTTACTCGGGGGGGGGGGGTTCCAGGAGAAATTCCTATCGGCGAATCAGACATGAAGTATGCCTTCTAGCTGTGCTATATTCTCGACAAAACCTTATCTCAGACTATGGATCGAGCGCCATGCATTACGCTAGGGCGTACTTCGAAAACAACCGTTCCACAGGATTCCATAAGCCCTGCCAATGGCCTCTACGAATTGTTCTATAATTTGGCTGAAGTTCAGGATGCGGTCGTTCGTGCTGTCCGGGGCCCAAAGGATACCGATAGCTACTCTGAGCATGTTGAGAGTTTGGAGCGCACGGTGCATGAACTAAAGGGCGATTTGCAAAATGTCAATAAGCCGGTTCTTGGCAAATATTCTTCGCTAACTCCAATTTTAGTTTCGTTGCATTTCCGAAATTGATCCATTCTGGGCCGGCGAGGTTGCAGCAACGTCGTACGCTGCGTCTGCAATCATGACCTCGGTTTTGCAACTCGACTCAAAGAATCCGAAGAACTCACTTAGACGGAATGAATTACTGGCCCATGCTCGTGGCTCCCTCAGATACCTTCTCTCCGTATTATCACGTGTATCACCCGAACCAGAAGGCTGCGCCATCAAGTTGTCCATCTCATGGTACTCACTTTTTAATACCTCCTCACTTCATTTGTGTCAGCAGCTAACGATAGTAAGGAAATTGCTCTTCTATCCGATGAACCCTTTTTTCACCCTCTACGGATACATGCTAGCACATAGTGACTTTGAGACGTATCTCATGCTATCAGAGGTAACGCACAGCTTGGTGAATACGATGTGGGACAATGAGCCTTTCACCGAATTGATTTCTCTCTTGTCATCGCTGATGGGCTTGGCTTCCAACATGTTCTCGGGACAGTCCGGTCTCAGTCAACAACCCAAATCTCAAGCGCCATCGATTGCTGAGAGTTTGGGCACTGCCCGGCCGGAATTGTTAGTTGTGGACGGACAGATGACGGAAGAGGAACTTTTCAGTCATCCCATCGAGTGGAATGAGGAAGAAATGTCTTTAGCTGACTCTCTGGCATTGATAGTTGACTGGGATGTGCCCGGGATTGGGCGTGAAAGCCACTCTAATGCTTGAAACGCTATAATAAAAGTACATATCTCAAACTTCATTGTTGTGGTAATCTTAAGGCACGTAGAGCACCACTATCGTCACTTCCGTGTAACACGTGGGTTCTTGACTAGCCCCATGGCCAGCTTCTAGATGATTATGTAGGTGGGTCCACGAGATCTCACATTACCTAAAAAATCGAGCTTCCAGCAGGGAATAAAAAGACGAAGTTGAGCAGACTGATTTGGAAAGACGTTTGAAGATTTAGCTTTACTAGGCTGGCAGAACTCCTTGCTCCGAAATGTGGGGATAATGTCCAGGCCGCACGGAAACTTCCTAAAACGGCAATGCCCGGCTCCGTCCGAGAAGCCGACGATTCGGATCTCAACGGCGGTGGAAATATTTATGTCGAAGCAAACCGCCGTGTGAAGTTCTTCTTTTCACCTGCAGCGAAAAAGAAAATATTCACCAATCAAGTACTTCATAATTAATCATCATGCCTGTCTCTCCCGAAGCCCTCACCCTCACCCTAGCAGGGTTCATGAGTGGTCAGTCCCCAAGCTATTTCACCTTCCTAGCATCGTCTAACGTTCCAATGTCACAGGTTACTATTTCAGTGGCGCTTTTGTCTTCATGCCCGCGGTACAAAAGGCGCCATCACCTCTAATCGCCCAACAATGGAAGCACGCCTGGGACGTCAGTCGATATGTCGGGAAGATTGTCGTTACCGGCACTGCTACCAGCTTCGCTTATCTGGCCTATTCAGAGCCCACGAAGGCTGAAAATTACCGGTTCCTATTGTTTGTCGCTGCAGCTGGTATCGTCGGGGCAATCGTGCCGTACACCATCTTCGTGTCCTACCCGTTCAACGAGGCGATCAACGGGCAGCTTGGAGCTACTGGAGGCGAGAAGACGGACTTGAAGAAGCTCGTAGCGGACTGGGGTCGGACCGATTGGAAGAGATCATTCCTTGCCTTTGTTGGAACTTTTGTTGGAGTGTGTGGTGCGCTGGCTTGAAGTCTTCACTGAATGACACATGTACCTGTAGCTCGCCACGGACTGTAAGGTTGATTGAAGGTTTTATCTATGTCTTTGCATTTATAATTCAAACAAATCTGTCGCAGTTCTATTTGAAATTAAGGTAGACAAACTGAATGACTACGATGACCAATGGGCTGAATGCGTAGTACCATTCGTAGAAAGATGACATAAAAGGAAGAATGGTAATAACGCTCCACCCAAGAAGGCCTAGAAACAGAAGTATACAAAGAAGTGTGAGCTGAAGTGTTGAAAGCCTACCATCGCCAATGTAGAGACCTATCAACACAGCAATGAAACAATTAAGGGGTTGTACAACGAAGATTGAGAAAATCGACCGTTTCAGTAAGAGCGAGGGCTTATCATACCCGAATGCAAACCAGACGAACAAAATTACAACCAGGGCCAGAAACTGTAGGCAGAAGAACCAGATGACAATAGTCATCCACTGGGATTCTAAAAACCGGAAAGATAATGACGCTCGAATATTTATGCTTTTCAACTTCACCATCGTAACTTGATTCGGTAATGGGGTGATACCTTGCTCCAATGCCATCAAGGTAGCTGATGGTGTTTGTTGTTTTGTTTCGGGTTCGATTCTTTCTTCTCCGCCACCCTCTGGGAATTGTTGGTACTCATCCATTGGAATTGCTTCGAATTCGTCTCGAGTAATGCTTGGCCTTATCGTTGTATTAGAAGTTGGATGTGACGCGATGTTCCGGAGTATGCCTGATAACCGGTCCAGAGCTTCGTCACTCGTTCGCTGGGTGGCGGATGTTTCTATCGATCCATTAGAATAAGGAAAGGCAAGTCCGTCGTGCTAAGATCTACCGTTTTGATAGGCGGCAACAAGAGAGATCGCCTCCATGATAGAATCTCTTCCTTCCTCATGTCGTTCTAGCTGTTTTTGCTTCTTAATGGTGGCAAATAGTGATAAAGAAACCATGGTAATCGGGCCTAGCAAGAGGAACACGGCCAATACTTGGCCAAACCCCCATTCGTCCTCTTCACCTTCAACTTCGGCAGAGTCCCGCGCCATTAATAGACGTGTAGTACCCCATAGAGAAGTGACAAAGAGCCAAAAGACCTGCAAAGTTTCTTATTACTTCATTTTTCAAGCGTTTCAAATGGAGAACCATGGGTCCTCCCCAATGGCGGGAGATAAAGTAGACTTACATCCGCTATTTCTGAAGACAACACATCGATATAAAGTTTTCCAACGAGGTAAAGAGCAATCATCAAGTCCAAAGGCCGAAGGATAATCAAGATCCGTCGCCAAAACGTCCTATTTTCAAACTTTTCGTAGCCTCTGGCTGCTGCGACTATAATTGATGCCGCGCAGAGTCCGACTTTTTGCCGGATCGTATATTTGGTGATTTCAGAAAGTGTTCGAAACATCTTAAATGAGCGACTTGTGAAGCTGGAAGTCAGAAGAAGGATTGATAATACGGATGATTCGTAGGCTAGAGTAGCTTCGGGCGCGTATGAACTTCCGGTGAAAAGGTTCTCTTTGCGATTGCAATAATATCCATCACTAAGCTCCAAAAGCCGATTTGAGGGGCACGCGCGACTCTTCCAAACTTCTTGAGTGGAACTGTGTGTGAAGAAGCAACGTGCATTTGCCGCTGGTACGGCCGCCGTCCCTTGGCCACCCGATTCCCAATTGAAATACCCTGTAGGTATAATGGCAGTTATTAGACCAGTCAGTAACAATGCCATCAAAATCATCCGAACATTTCGCTGCAGTTGGTGCTGGTAGAGATGCTCCCGTAGAGCTGTGAGGCACGCCGCGTGTGTCAGGTTCGAAAACCAAGCTAAATAGCTCATGATTTGCCAGTGGTAAGCCGACATATAGCAACTCAAGCTCACGAAACTGCTGAATAGAAGTCCAAGGCCAGTCAAGAGTTGGACATCACACAATCTCAGGAGGATCTGTCGTCCCAAATTTAGCAGCCTGCATGACTAACGGTGGGAGCATCGGAAGACCTTTGTGAAGGCCATATTCCAGTGTGAATGATGGCCAATACTTCGGCGAAGACCAGAAAACATGCGAACAGCTTTCACATCGACCGGGTTTGGTTTGAAATCATAACTGCGCCCACGTCTTCGATCTCGTATCGGATTGCTGAGTGGATCGGCGTTGGGATCGAAGGCGAGGCAGTATCGGAAGATGACGATGAAGACTACGAGCCAAGCCGTTGCCAGAAATCCTACTAGTACCTAGGGTCCCGAGATATCCGTTAGCACCTTGCTCAAAACCTCGTTACCAAAAGCTCTGCTCTGGTTTGCGGCCAACCTACTCCCATCCCACCGACGTCAGGATTTGCTAGTAACTTCTTTGGTGGGTGAAAGCAATCCCTGTCGCAATTCGACATGGAAACTTCTGTTTCCTCTGGGGAGAGTGATGTTGTCGCCATCGAAAGCACTGGTCATAGCAAATTACACACTTCGAAAGTCGAAGGTTCGCGGACACAGATAAGATGCACTTGGCCTCTGAACTAGGTGGGCAGAATGAGAACAACCACGCTTAAATATCCCTATCAGCCGTCTTGCGTGTACATAATGTGTCACCCCAACCCCCCTCGTTACAACATGCGGCTAGAGATTCAAGGAGCAACACAGCACTGTTTCAATTGAATGCCGCCTCAATCTCCACACTATTTTAGCAGCACAGCAGATAAGCGAGAACGGCCGACGTCACCTGTGTCTCGGAGGCCCTCAGCCGTAGCCTTACCAGAACTTGCTGTGCACTGCGTGTAGCCAGCACCTGACACATCAGCACACGGTTGGCAAACAGGGCCTAATCCTTCGACGTAAATAGTCCTGCGCAACGCCGTCTCTTACGGCTCCCTCAACGTCCCCTAACAAATTGCCTTGTTTACCGACATATGAACGACCCGACGACCAGTCCCGCCATAAAGGGTCTTGATCCATCTTGAACGTATGTATTGGTCTTGGAATCTGAAAGAGCTGGCTGCAAAGTGATTTGACATGTTTCAGTTTGCATCGGTCGATCTACCAAGGGAGAGGTTGTATTATCTTACCTTAGCTGCAGCAGCAGCTTTACCCTTTTAGGTTATAAAAGGTCAACACGTACAATGAGTGACTCAAATGCACGTAGAGGGGCACCGGTCGTCAAGTAGGCCAGCCCGTTTAGCTGCCCCACCCGACAAAATGACCGTTAAAACTTTGTGATCCCCTATGTCTGTAAGAATGAAGCTTCGGTATCAATAACAGATTATAGAAATGTCTGTATTGGACTTCAGTATAGCCGACAGCTTCTCCATAATTACCTAGGGATCGGTTATAGTTGGCGAGGTGCTTAGAATCCATATATCAATATATACCTCCTTCATCCTACAACTTAATTACACCACAATTCTTGCTCCTCGTTGCGCAGACATGTCTACGGGCATGTTAATAATTTATCAATTGTGCAGTCAGATGAGATTCCACATCTTGGAGCATAGGTCCGCCGAAGTTTATGGAATGCCGTCAGAAACGTTGAATATGCGTCGACTAACGACAGAGGGTTGTGAACAGTCCACTCCGAAGTTTAACAGGCTAAACTTCATATTATACATCGAGTGATGCAAGTACCCTAAAGTGCATCACTCCATACACCCCCAAGCCCAAAAGGCCGACTAGTAACAATGAATACAGCGTCCACTGGAGCCTCGAGCTGCGTCGATCGTCCATGTAAAGAAGTACAGCTATCGCGACAAAGCATATCGTCGGTTGAATGCCAAATCAATTGATGGTTGACGATGTAATAGGAGTGCCGTGATTCCTAATAGGGTAATTAACCATGTATAAAAAGAAAGGCGCCGCTGTTGGAATACGTTGACTGCAGAAAAGCCACATTACGAGCATCATCGCGCGGGTACTAGCGAAGTTAGTTGCCAACGAAGATCGCAAGTCTATGTGCCCTTCTGTCAAGATGATACTCTGATTGAGGCGCCGCAACGAAAGCTCTTTCGGGTTCGCTTGGAGTCCTAACGAGGGGCAGGGCAAAGGTAAACCTTCCTGGCCATGTTGTTGCGTAGAAACTGACTGATGGCCGTCTGCCGGACTTACAGGTAATATACGTTGTACATTTTGCACCGCAGGAGATTGTTGATAACGGTTGGATGCATCAATGAGGTTCAGGACGGCAGCCTGCCTGATCGTCAGCGCTGCCGCAAGTGCAAATATTTACCAACCCTTCCAAGTAAATCTAACCAAAGGGAGGCCATCGCCACGCCCAATTAAGCAAGTTCATACCCCTTAATTGACTCGAATACCTTGATTGATTCACCTATTTATAGATTAGCCTATAGGAGGCTATAGATCCGTCCTAGCCCCACTTATCTAGGTATACTATGAGGGCATACGTAAGGGGCCATAGGAGGGGGGGGGGGGATGGCTAGGAATAAGGGATCTAAGGGCTCTAAGGGCTCTAAGGGCTCTAAGGGCTCTGAGGGCTCTAAGGGCTCTGAGGGCTTTATAAGAGGGGGGTTTAGGGGCTATGAGGCTGTAGATAACTTCAGAATTACCCGATTAGGAAGTTACTATAACGTAGTTTTATACTATAATTGAATTATTTTAATTGCAACGTAGCCAATTAATCAAACCCTCGTGAAAAAATCTCATCAACAGCAAGTTTGGGGGTCCAATTTGCTTTGATTGCACTTGCGGCAGCGCTGCTGATCGTGAATACTGGAACCATTTGGCCCAATCTGCTGATCAACCGAACCCTCTGTCGCACATTTAATAACCTTAGCAATTCTTTATGATATTGGATGACAGCTTCTCACGGTTCTGATAGGTGCGGATGAGGTTAAAAATGCGATGTTTTGGTTGCTCGTCGTTTTCATTCCGAAGCTTCGTTCTATTCTTTCCAGCCCCGAGCGCAGATACGGTAACGCCAATGACTGGCCCTATGACAAGGAGGACTGGTAGGATTTGACCAAATCGCCATTCATTCTCTGAGTCATCAG